TTAAAATTATATCCGAAAATAAGCACCTCTTATAACAAAAAAGGGGTGCTTAATTTCGGAACTATACGGTATCTAAATGTCGGATTTTAAACAGTCGAAATTCTGTCTTATTCGAGATTTTGACTTGTCAGTATTCTGTCTTAGTCGAGATTATGTATGTCGGTATTATATACTGTCTAGATTTGAATTTTGGGATTTCGGGGTAGAACGTACTTAATATGTAAGTAGAGTATATTACAGTAATTTCGGAAGTATGCAAGGTTAACAAAACTTATAAAATTTAGGTTTAAAAATGAATTGTCTTTAACATTAAGGATCACTACTATTATTCTTTTTTTAAGATGCGATTCAGTGTCGATTATGAGAAAAAAATATTTTTTTTATTAATTTTTTTATAAAGTATATAGTACGTGTTTATTTGAGATTTATTATCATACTTTTAAACCAATATTTTTCTTATATGTGTATTATAATAAGAACTTTGACGTTCTGGTCTGTAAAAATTTTGAAAATTATAATTTATAAACATTATAAAAGTAAAAAATACGAGTATTTTTTTGAATTCAAACAATAATATAGATTATGAAAAAATGAAGGGAACGTGCTTTTTTGAAAATAACAAGAGTATGATTCGAGAAAAATAACGTCAAAAAATAGTGCTTTCGTTCTGTTAAATCTAAAATTTTATTATTGTTATCATTAGAATTTTTTAATTGCCGCAAATTATTTGGACTGATTAATGCGCCACCAACCTGGCATACATTCAAGAATTGTAAAATTTAAATAAACTACGTACGTAATTTATTGCAGTCGATAATTTTTAACAAAAATAAGTTTAAAAGACTTAAAAACAAACATAGAGCAAAACAAAAGCACTAATGAACGGAAGGAATCTTGTAATAAAAGAGAATACTACCCATATGTCTAAAAGTAGATCTACTCCAAGTTTCGTCTGGAAATAATACATAAGGATCGTTCTCCATACCATAATGATGATGCCCGATGCAACCAGTCGCGTGCTGTCTCACAAGAACTGGATAACATTAACGTGATGCTAACTTGAATGGAAATTGCACCAAATGTCCCTCCTTATTCATATAGTCGAAAGGGATTCCAAAATATTTGAAAATTAGACCCAAGGCAATTATCTCGTTAACCACCCAGTCCTTTTCACAAATCACAACTTTGTCATCCCCTTTGATGACGTATAGTACAAGCCACCTATACGTTTCTTCACGGCTTCCATATTCACATTATTCATCTCACACATGTTTATGAGGCATTCTTTAAATCGTTGATCATTGCTCAGTTTTTCTAATACTTTATCGACAGGTTCATATAACAGAGGATCTTCACCTTTCTTGCGACAAATCTATTGCAGAAAAACTATAATAAATAAAATGTAAAAAAAAAATTGACGCATAAAAACTTACCCAACCACGGATATACTCTAAAGCTGATCTGACGTTGTCAGACCCGAAATCGGCGAGTCTGTCGCTAAATCGAAAGGAGGTCCGTGTAACCAAACCTAGGTCGAAAGAGGCGTGTTAGATTTAGTCGAGTGGTATAGTTTCGTTGGGACAGAACCAGGGTTTAATATAGTTCAGGCAGGGTTCGTAACGAAGGTATATATTGAACATTAGGTTCGATGTATGAAGCTTGAAAGTGTATAATTTTTATTAAGAGTAATTACTCAAAAATACGAAATGTATGGTTTTATTAATAGTGAGAGTATGATATAGGGAAATAATTGTATGATATAAATGATTTAATAAAGCAAAGGTGGGAGTTGTTATTTTCCCAAGGGCTCAAAGGCCTTTATTTATAATTAATTCTTTATTTA